GACGAAGGGCTATCTGCGAACCGGGAGCTCTGAGAACTGGCGGAAGAGAGCTCGAACCTTTGTAAAGAGATGGCGGCGGAGGACTTGCTTCTCTAGTCTGCGAAATGGAGCTAGGTTTATTGGGCGGGGGTTAACAAATCAAAGTTCCAAGTTTGAGTTCCAACCCTGGGGTTGGAACTTTTGTTTTAAAGCAATATTGGAACATGGAACAATTCCTTGAAGTTCTCTTTGAAGTTCAATTTTTTTATCAAACACAAAACTTGGAAGTTCTCAACTTCCAGGAAGACACTTCAGGTTATCAAACAAGCCCTAAAAGTAGGGCGTGCCAGCCATGGGGATAGGAAGCTCGAAGCCCCTAAAAATTAGGGCATGCTACTCATGTTGTGGCTTTGTTGGCCCCCACCAATTTAGGTCATAGTGGGCCTATGTACACAATGGGACTCTAATGCTATTTTTAAATATTTAAAAATTAATAAAAGATTTTAGAATTAATTTGAATATTTAAAACATTGAAAAATCAGTACATCTATTTTTATAAATCCAAATTTTATAAATAAAATATCCAGAGATCTAGAAAAATTCAAATAATAATTCTAAAATCTTATCATCATAAAATAAACACAATTAAATTCATTAGATGGGATAAGGATCCACATGGTCTAGGAATAAACGTTATGGGGCACTCTGCCTTCAACCACAGACTACGGTCCACACTTGCATTATCAACCAATCCAATGTTTCCCATGACCTACAATCTATGCAGGGGCTCATTAGTGGGTCACCAAAGTCTGGTTGATGAGCCAAAGCGTCGCATTCCCAGTTTGTAGATTTCAGTTTCTCTTCTAGAGACGTGCCAAGGTCACCTAGACCTGATGCAACTACAGCTCCTATGGCGCATAGGGGTATCTTTGGTACATGCATAAGCTTCATCTTAAAATGTGGTTCGCTTTTCCAAAACGGCTATCATTATGCATGCCATGTGATGGTATATAGATGAAGCTTTGACCCCCGTTTTTGAAGGCAACTATCACACACAGGGGTTATACAGTCTCTCAGCTCACTTATCTGGACATACTCCGATCTCATCAAGGGATGACCTATTAGAACCCTTATCGAATAGTTTTCTATATCCAAATAACATAGGTTTTTCCCAATCGACTGGCCTTGACCATCAAGAATGGTTTGGTGTCAACAAATGTTATTTACTTGGTATGGTCCACGAGGGACTACACTCCCACTAAGTTCATGTTTTATTATATCAAAATGTTTCATTACAAGCACTAATAAGGCCTTTAATGGCCACATTCACCTAACACAATTTAAATAGGTATTCAGTTTAGACTAATTGGAAATTGACATAGGGATTGTATCATAGGTATACCATATGTTGACTCATGTTGTAGTTCAAGAGTTTTAGGGAAGTTACCAAGATATCATAGAGGTTTTTTGCGTTTTTCTTTTTTTTTTTTTTTTTTTTTTTTTTTTTTTTTTTTTGATAGCAACAATGGCCATGAGAGAGAAAGAGTAAATAAAAATCCCATTCAAATGGATGTTGAGAGGGCTTGATAAGAGTTGAGAATAGAGAGAGAAAGAGACCCACCCTGAACAATGGTCCCACTTATACATGGGTGTGGTGATTATGTAGCCATTCAAATGGATGTTGGTACTAGCATGAAGTGCCCTTTGCACATCTGCTATTATGTGGTGGCTACATGATCACCATCACCCATACTACTTTGTCAATCCCAAAAAAAAGATCACCATTACTTTAACAAACAAATCAAATTTCTCTCTTGAAACACAACAAGATGAAGACAGGACTTGGCCACCGACTTTTTCATGAAGCATTCTATGGAGCCTTTTGGAAACTGCCTGCATCGAAGACTCATAGGTTAAGCACTTAGGAAAAAGGAGTTATTTAAGCATAACAATTAGGCGACAATGTTACTACGTTTTTAGATGCTTGAGGTTATCGGTACAAGGAGGTTTTTTTATAAGGTTTCATTTATTTGCAAACCCTAAGTTTGAGCTCTATTCAATTGCTTATTTATCGATCTTCCTAATTGTATTTTTTAAATGTGACATGGACATGATTGAAATTTTGGGAATAATAACCATGAGTTACATTAATTTCCCGTCTTTACTTCAAATGACACCAAGAAATAATTGTTCTGTCGTTTTAAGGTATTTCAGCGCTGGTTTTTTTGCTTTAGCATGATGAATTTAGGATATTTTATAAATATTATTTGCACTTTAGAAAGAGAGAGGATTCTTGGGAATACATGGTGATTAGAGAGAAAGACATTACTTAGGAAAGCATTGCTTTATGAGGATGAGAAATGAGGGTCCTGATTTTTATGTTACATAATTATGTTATTTTACATTATTATTTTTATTTTGTTAATAATGGCTTTCATTTAGTTACTTTAGTTAATTTTTACAGGTACTTTTTTTATAACAAGCTTTTGATTTTTAAATAACTTTCTTTATGTATGGATGCTCTCTCATATTTATTGTTTTTGTATTTTAATTAAAAAAAATTAAAATGTTTCAATGTAGCAAAATATTTGTTTGTTGGATTTGTGGGATACAAAAGGATGTAGTATTGTTTAGTTGAGTGGTACAGGTGGTTCATGGTACTTCTATTGATTCTATTGAGAGAGAGAGATGAGTTTATATTTGTTGGATTTCATTGTGGTGCTTATGTTTAAAATGTATGTGTATATACACATAGAGAGAGAGATGTGCTTATGTTTAACGGGTTTGTGCCTTCTATTTGAATGTTTACATAAATGTTGATTGTGTTTCTATGTACTATTTACTGCATGATTATTTATGCTATCATTTATTTTATTCATACATGCAACTCAGGTAATCCAACTAGTATTATATAACATAGTTTTATAGAGTTATATATTATATAATTTCTGAATAGGTCATATAATAATATAAAAAATTATAATTTTTTATTTTTTTGAATTTTTATTTTTTTAGAATTTTTTCATTTCATTATATTATATTACGATTTTTATCTTCTTTTTTAATAATATAAGATAATATATATTATATAGTATGTAATATATATATATGATATATAAAATAATCAATATGTAATAATCTATTTTTTGAGATAATAATAATAATAATATAATCACCATCATTATTTTAACCTTTTCCAAAATAATTGAGATCAGTTAATAACAATATAATATATTATTATTATAACATAATATTACACGATAATATAATGATATGCTAGTTCTCATTTTCTCGACATATAAGCAGACGAATTACCATGCATGTAGGACAATATATGACAGACACCGGTCATGTTTTGGACATGTACATCCCGGAACTCGTGCAAAAGAATGTTCACAGCTATCTTAAAAAAGATGAGAACAATTGTTTTATGTCCGTTGGACTGCATTTCTACAATTTGTGGTCCACATATATCAAGCATTCATTTTACAGATGGATGCAAATAGGTGGTCCATCTAAAAACAAGTGTACCGAATGATCTAAATATATTTTTAATATAATTATTATTTCTAGTTTTAAATTATTGTTATTGTTTATATTCATGATCTCCATGTTAAAGACTATATATACTCTAAAAAATAAGATCAAACTATATATAAAAAGTATATTTTCGACATAGTTTTGAAGTATACCTTACTCCAATAAAAAAATATCTGCATACCCTGAAATCATGACGTTCCAGGTGAAGGAATTAGTATGATTCATGGCATCAAAGAGCTATCTCGCCTTCTCCAAGGTCCCACACTTGCAGTACATGTCAACCATGGCTGTCTTCACAAGGCAATTAGGCTTCACCCCACATCGATCAATGAACCCAATGATCCATTCAGCAAGCTCGGGGTGACCAAGCTTCGAGCACGCAGATTCCACAGTGACCAAAGTGGTCTCATCAAATAGAACCTCTCTCTTCATAACCATATCCCGAAAGAGCTCTATTGCTTCATGGACAAACACTTTTTGCGCATAACCAGAGAGCATTCTATTCCATGAAACTACTGTACAATTTGGCATCTTATCAAAGAAGCGGTCTCGAGCCAAGCTCAATTGACCTCATTTTGCAGAGGCTCAAAAGCATGGCTGTCCATGAAACCATTGTGCGTTCAAGCATGGAATCGAACAACTTTTGGGTAATTTTGAGGCCTTGGACTGAAAGCATGGCTGTCAATAAGAGCATGTCTTTTTATATTTGTTAGTACTGAAAAAACAATTAAAAATAAGTAATATCAATCAAGGTTAGGAGATATATTTTTGAATTGATATATGAAAACAAAAAGAGAAATGATCCTATAAGACCTTCTTCCACTCGTGTGAGTAAGATCTCAAAAGACCACCATTAAATTTGACACGAATCTATAAAAAAATCAAATCCTACACTCATATGATAACTTTCTATCTGTGTCAACTTTAATAGTGATCCTTTAAAGTCCTACACATCGATGGAAGGTGATCTTATAGGGTCATTACTCGATCAAAAAATAAGGTGCATGTTTGAACCTTATATAAAAACCTCAGCTTTTCTTTTTTGGGTGCCGTTTGTATAGAACCTAGGCTCTAAACAATCAAATTAGATCCTACCTCTAAATAGTATCGAAAAATGCAGTTTTAATATTAGAAATCTATGTGATAGCCTTCAATATCTTTATTCATAAGGTTTAAAGCTTCAAAAATAGTATACATCAACATATCTATGAAAACTTAAAAATCTTGAAAATTGACGGTCCAAAAATGCTTTACAAAATACACTATTTCTCAAACTTGAAATTTTTTTTTTTTCTCATGCCCATGCATCTTGATGTCGAGATGATCCATTTGAGGATATTTGAGCATCAAAACAACATCTTATGGTGAAAGTTTTGAGGTAGGCCCAAATTTAATTGTTTAGAGCCTCGGCACTATATAAACTTTCCCTTTTTTTTTTTTGGTGTGTTTATATATTTATTTTTCGTGGTGGAGTTTGGTGCGCACGTGAAATGAGGCATGGTTGCCCATTTATCAGCACGCTGCAACTCTCTTTCCCTCTTCTCTTTCTGATGTCCAGATTCAATGGATTATATCCCTCTCTCTCTCTAACACCGACAAGTGAGTGAAACCTGTATAGTAATAGCACTACTCTCAAACATTAAAAGCGTTTTCTTCTGCTATACTCTTCTTTTTTCTCGCTTCATTAGCCATGGCCGCCAATCTTATGAAGGCCCTTTGCTACGACCGCTATGGTGGAGGTGCTGAGGGCTTGAAGGTCTCTTTCTTTCTCTTATGATTTTTTTCTGTATTAAACCCTGAACCCTTTTGTCATTTGACCTAATTCTCCTCCTCCTTTTAATTGGGTTTCTTATTGATTATTCAATTTTGTGTTTTACATGGTGGATCCTCAGATGTTATCTGCTTCACTTTCCCCTGTTTCACTTTTACTTTTTCTAGTGGATTATCATTTCCTCATCTATTTTGTTATTGTTTCGATTGCCTTCTTTTTTATTGTTTAATCCTACTTGTAGTGGACCTGATCTGAGTTGATGGGTTGTATACTATATGTTAATCCTCATTGGGAATTTAATGAACGGTTGAATTTTTTGAAAAATAAGAAAACAATGACAGAAACGGCCCATATTTGAGAGTGATGCACAACCCAATTTGCATCTTAATAAATTCTTTTCTGACTAAGTAGGGGTTTGATGAACTCTGAACTTTGTGCGCGTGGAGGTCTCATCCAGACGTACGGATAAATTGGATACACCTGAAAAATGTCAGTAAAACGTGCATGCAATTCTCAGTTGTTTGAATCATTTCTTCTCCTTCAGTCTGCGTTTGTTCTCGTTCAATCTGGGCTCTCCAGCCTATACTGTGCTATAGGCTGGGGGACTTGTGGACGCATCTTCCATTACATCAGTTTGGTCGATTGGGGCTTGGGGCTTGGGGCTTGGGACTTGGCAGTCGAGTAACTCAGGCAAGAGTTCTACCATGGTCCACAAAGGGCTTGGGGAAAAGATCAAGAAAAATGGAGAATCTAAAATAAGAAAAATGCAATTAAATGAAAAAACTTAACTGCATTTTTTCCCCCAATGACAGAACTTTTGGGGCAATTCTCTCAATTTCTAGGCTTCCCACAAATTGACATATAGATCTTGTAATTCAACTAGAACCAAATCTCAACAGATTTGGATAAAAAATGCGAAAGAAATCAAAGCATTGGCAGATTTGTAGGATTTAACTGAAAAATTGCATCCCCCTCACCCCCCCAACCCAAAAAAAAAACAAAAGAAACCTAGATTTTTTGGGCAAAATCTCGCCATTTCTAGGATTTGATCAAACAAATTACTGTGGGGATTTTGTATGAGGGTTGAATCATATTCAACTATAACCAAATTTCAATGAATTTGGATAAAAATGAGGATGAAATCTAAGCATTGGTGTATTGAAATAGGGTTTAACAACAAAACTGATCTTTCACAAAGAAATGAGGGAGGAAAAGATAAAATCTCAATGGATTGATCAAAACTGGTCAAAGTTCGATTGATTTTGAGCAACAATAAGGCTTAATATAGGCCAAACAATAAATTTTTTAGATCAATTATTGATTAAAACAGCTAAAAGTTACAGCAAAAAGCTTTAAAAGTAGCTCAGCAAAACAGGTTAATCACCTGGCAGATGCATGCAGCTAAACTCGGCTTGGCGCCTGCCAAGGCCGAATAACGGCCAAGACTGAGTTGACTAGATCATGCTGGTTAATTGTCATTTATGCACGTGGAATTGGTATTTCTGAAATATCTTTTACATGAGGTGTAATGTGTGAGGTGTTACGTGTTTCCAAGAATTTACTGCAAATTATCGGTGATTTCAAAGCCACCGGTCATTGTTTTCTTTCTAGAAAGCTGCTACTGCTTCCTATGCATATTGCTAACAGCCAAAGAGTATATGTGAGCTGCCCTTTTAATGGTGGTTGTTTTTATCACAAAATGCCTCTTATTTAGTCCTAATGTAATCCATTTGTCTTTTGCAAGCAGGCAGTTTTGATCTGTCTCAGTCTGTTACATACAAGCAATTTATTCTTCTGTCTATTGGCTAGTTTGTCTTACTGTCCAGCCTCACTTTCCAGTAATTGACAGATATCATTGTCAAGGTGTGAGATTGTCAATCTTACTGCTTCTTCACTGAAGTCACTGTCCAACAACTAGAATTCGTAAACAAATACAAAGAAACCAAGATGATTAATTAGAATGGAAGCTCGAACAGATACCAGCTCCTGGAGTTTTATAGTCCACTAAAATATTCATAGTGGTTTTTCGCATTTCAATATCCTTCATAACCTTGCAGACGAATGAAGACTCTGATTATATTATTAATGATGTAAAGGCTTCAGGAATAACTTTCTGGTGATTTATGTGCCAAAATATTTATTGTTATTCTACAGGAATTGAAGTGGATAACATTTTGATTTGCTGCCAATGTCACTACTAAAAAGATCTTCAGATCCCAAGTTACTGTACTTCACCTTTTTTGCCTTTGCAGCATGTAGAGATTCCAATCCCCACTCCAAAGAAGGATGAGGTCTTACTCAAATTGGAGTCAGCAAGTGTCAATCCAGTTGATTGGAAAATTCAGAAAGGCATGTTGCGGCCATTTATGCCTGGCAAGTTCCCATTTGTACCAGGTGAGGGATCAAAACTTTCATGGTTTTATTTGCTAGATGTCTGATTTCTTACCTTGATTTTTAAGTTTGATACAGCATTTGATGAGAAATAGGGTTTGCAATTTGATTTTACTCTTTATCCAAATTTATGTTACATTATCATGGCATAAGGCTTGGATGTGAGACATATGTTATTCTAAAAAGGTAGAATGGATAAGAGTGATGTGTTGTTGGAAATTCAATATTTTAAACAGATTACTACGATCTTGCTCCTCTAAACATTTTGAGTGTTGAGGAAGAGAAAACATACCAAAGTACTTCAAATTAATCTCGATGTACGGGTACAGAAAGTTCACAGTGACATGAAAATAACACATTTGAGATCCTCTTCCCATAGAACGAAATCCTCCAAACTCTTAAATTGGCATCAGCCTTAAAGTGGATCACAATGACTGATTATCCTCCAAACTCTTAAATTAGCATCGGCCTTAGAATGGATCACAAGGACTGATCTTTTTGAATCAATGTGTTGTAGATTATAAATTTGAAACATAATTATAGGTTTTACATGATTCTAAATTTTCAGTTGCAAGAAAAAATCCAATTATTTTACCTCAAATGTTAATAAAAAATCTGAGTCTTAAGATCATTTTATTACAAAACTAAAAAAATAAAAGATATTTCTGAATCTGCCAGACTAGAATTTGCAACTACCATATGTGAGTTCCTTTAATCCCATCAAACAAGTTATCCAATTTCTTGAATCCTGCTGGAGTGATGTACACGAAATGGGATGCTCCTTTAAGATCCAACTAAAAACAACTGTGAACCTCTTTTTCTCAGGTTACAGAAAATTAACCTTAAAGAAGCTCATTGTAGGCTATATTATCAGTGAGAAAAGATAGAGGAATTGAGTAAAAATATCACACACTACGGTGCTTCTGACACCTACCTGCAGGCCTACTAAAAAAGAAATTACAAGATAACATTTGTGCCCCTATGATAGAAATCTGTATCGCCCTTTAGGACCATCCAATGCAAGGTTGTGGCCAAGAGGTGTGCTACTATAATGTGGCTTGCTTTGACAGCCTTTCTTCCACCCATTTTCCCCCAATTCATGAAGGGCTTAAGTCTATTTAGGCATATCTCCCATGTATTACTATGTGCAGAGTCAAGCATCTTTAGGTTTCTCTATATTGTGTTTATTGTAACGGTATTCGGGATGCTAATTGTGCAGGCGTATTTATGTGTCATATTGTTGTACCTATTATGTGTGTGTGGGGGCATAATTTCATACTCCCGCAGAAACCTATTTAGGGAGATTTGTTTGACTCAAATTTTTGTATATGGACTGCCTTGAACCCATTGAACAAAAGGGAAGGGGGGGGAAGGGGGGGAAGGAAACCACTAGAAAATGGTTTTCTTTAGGAGATATAAACGTTTTCTAAATGTCAACCATCCATTATAGATCTAGGCCCTTCAGAACTCAAATTGTTCTAAATTGTTCATTTGGTGATAGGATGAGGATATACAATGAATTTGGGGTCGAACAAATCCCCTTAAGGTCTCAACCGAAAACCATTTTCTCTATTCTTAAATGTGCAGCCTATATTCACTGCATTTTCTCACTCCTCAAATTAAACCTCTGTTTAAGGTTGCTGACACATAATAGGGGCACTTTGGGCATTATTTAGAATAATTTTTGAGTTACCTGTTTGAAATGCAAATTAAAAAATGTTGTGTCATTAATTGGGATGTTTTGACCCCGTTAATGATTTTATAGGACCCGATGAAATCCTATAGCTTATATTTAAAAGGGGTATGAACTATCAAAGTTACTTTAGCTTTCCATGATTATAAGGCGAGTAAAGGTACTTTTGCCATTAGGGAGAGCATTTTTTATATTCTCACTTAAGAGCAAAAGGTGTTTTTGTCATCTCAAGTAGGACATTTTTGAAATTTTCACTCAAAGACAAGGGCATCTACATGAATAAATTGCTTGGAGTATCACTCCATAATTACCCATGTCTTTTAGTGAAATATCAACAATGCCCTTTTAATAACTAAAAATTTACCTTACTCATTTTGTAACCATGGCACAAAGACAAAGGCAACTAAAGTAATTTTGACGATTTGCATATATGATTTCATGGGGTGTGGGAATTTTGGCATAGTTTCTTTGAATCTAGTTAAGCTCAGCATATGAAATTTGTAATCACTAAAATGGCATCTAACAAGGAGTATTCGCTTAGGGATATCCATAATGCCTTAGACGTAATATTTGTGGACACAACAAAAATACACCTTGTACATGATTAAGTTTGCTTATAGAATCCCCATAGTAGTTGTATAAACCCATTTAAAAGATTTATGTGTGAAAGTAGAGTGCATACTGCTAAAGTTTCCTACATGGTTCAATGGGGGTTGAGGAGTGCTCGATGGGTCTCACCACAATACAATTCAGCACTCTGTATCATCCCATAAACAAATGGGGCCCTATGAGTTGATGATGACTAACCCCAGTGAGAAAGTAACTTATGCTATGCATTTGGTTTGCTGCAGGTGGGAATGAAAATGAAGATGGGTTGTTAGGGAGTGCAGAGTTTGTCAATTATAAAACAAACTCCTCAACCTCGTGTCCACATTTACCATGCTAAACCATTTTCTGAACTAATCAAATTTTCCATCATCCAACCTCTTGGTGAACACATTTTCCACCTGCCCACTACAAGGGTTGGAATTAAGACCCACCTCACCTTCCAACACCTTTACTAACAATTTGGTGGCACTCTTCTGGATCTTATCATGTATATCTACAATATGACCAGCTTATATTCAGACATAATATATAGTTCATAGCCTCATATTATCCCATAAAGCTTTCATGATTTTCAACCATTCACCAAATTTGTGAACTAAATCAACCAATTCATGACAGAACAAGTTGCAGTTGCAATCCAATAACCTTAGTGGATGATAAAGCTACTACTTTTGGTTTATTGCTGCTCCACGAAACACCTGCAGCCCAATGAAATGCAACGACCTGATGCAAACATCCTATTATCCGAATGTTGGCAAGGTTCCCATGCAGTGCCTTGCCCTCACATCCTGAAATTTATTACCCTACCTTTAATATCCCACTCTCCACATTCTCACATCAAATCTTGTGAAATTTCCATGTATGCGCTTTGTGGCTTATGTGCAAACTGAAAGTCTACTCTCACTGCAGAAGAAATGAAAGGCTGCTTAAGCATCAGGTGGTTAAGATGGGGTACTTTTTTCTTGTTGTTTGCAAGCATATGACATTGATGTCGTTATAGTTGAATGACTCAGAGAGTAATTAACTACTCACAAATGTTCAACTTCCCCAAAGAAAATCCTTGATAAGAAATTTTTTTAATTTTATAATTGGACTCCCATGAGCTTATGTGCCGATCTTTCAGTTTTATATGTTGCCCATCTGCCCATATCCTGTCTTTGTAGAAACTGACATCTCTTATGTGGGTAGGGGTTTTAGCCAGAGATCTGTGTCTAGTTCCAACTTAAATATTCACATGGACTCTTTTCCTGTGATGATAATTCTGCAGAAATCACTTTCTTTGTTGTTTCTGCAACTTCTCCACTAATATCCAAATACTGAACTGTGGCATGCGCCCCATGAAGTTAGTCATAGTTCTGATATATGATCTTCATATATTGATTGACATGAATACCCCTATACAGCTTGATAAATTAACTTGTCTATTAGATTAAAACATAAAAAGTCAAGGATATATCAAATAAAAAGTTAAGCCTCCAGACATGCACACATAGACGCCCTCACTTCTCACTCTAGTTTTGTTAGGATGCATGTAGTGCAAAGCACGTGCCATGGACTGTAAACGATGTGGTGCTGCATTCTGATTTTCATATAACAATAAGTAGCCTGCATCGTTTTTATCTTTCTTGGGTATTTTAGTTGTATGTTCGATACTAACAAGATGTTCATCTGTGTCATCCTCATATATATACCTCTGCACTGGTTGCACATTCCAGCATCCGAGTAGAATTAATTCTCTGTCTAGAGCTTGAAATTAGAACTGCACTTCTCTAGGCTGGCAGTTGAATGTAGTCGTTGCCCTCCAGATTTTTTTTTTTTTTTCTTTTCCATTTTCTCAAGATTATTACAGCTTCTTAGATATATTTCCTTCATCTAGACTATTTCATAATTTGACATATATTTGAATCTCAAAGAATAGTTGTATTAAATGTTTGAGGCAATTACCTGATGCCTCCTTTTTACACGCAACAGTGACAGATGTTGCTGGTGAGGTTGTTGAAGTTGGTCCAGGAGTCCAGAATTTCAAAGCAGGCGACAAAGTAGTGAGCATGCTGAGCTTCAGGGTGAGTGAACTGACCTCCACTGCAAGGCCATGCTTTAGTAGTAATACTATGTTAGCCTTAATCCATTATGAAGCAATTACTTAGGAAACTATCACCGTATACATCCCCTAGTGTGATGTGTAATATGTATGCATAGCATCCACAACCAGTTCTCAAGACCAACCATGAGGATAAACCATAGTTCCGATGTTTGATAGTCACCCAAAACTACAGTTCATTTCCACTTCCAACTGGAGAACAGATGTTGGATGCCCTGTATGCATGTATTATGCCCTACGCAAGATGTATGTATTGTGCTTTCCTTTCTTTCAAACATATTTGATTGCTGCCTTTGCTGATTATTCTATTATTCTGAACATATTTGGTTATCCTAAAGAAAGTCGGTTTAAAATATAGCATTGAGATTATGACAATGCAATCTTAGTATAGCATTCTTGTGTTATTTTTTGTTGTTGAAAATAAATCTGTTGTAACTGTCTTTTATTGCCGCATGCGTTTTTCAGTGATATTTGCAGGTTTTTTTACCATAATCCATTGGACCATGGAAAACCCTTAATCAATTGGATCACCAATGCCAATTATACAAAGAAAGTACAGTAATCATAAGTGCAATCAGCATCTAACCAATGGGTGGACAGTGTAAAAGAGAGTGGGACTCACCACTCGGATCATATCATGCTCTGGTGGGTCCTACTCACTGTCCATAACCATCATCCTTTGATTGGACATTGCTGACATTTATGACCAAAAATTTTCTATGATCAAGTAGGTCAAAGCATTATAAATTAAAGGATGAACCCACTCTCGTCATACTTTCCATTACTTACTGGATGGGGTGACTTAATTGACCGTTGTTTTCGCATAAGCCCATTGGATAATAGCAGAGATAAAATTTGATCATAGATATTTTCTCATTGCATTGTTCATCAAATCTGATTCCCAATTTGTGTGGGATTACTGAGAGGCAGAATGGAGGCGGGCTTGCTGAATATGCAGTAGCGAATAAAACCTTGACAGTGAAGAGGCCTCCAGAGGTGTCAGCCTCTGAAAGCTCGACCCTGCCCATAGCTGGCCTCACAGCACTACAAGCAATTACTGAGGGTGCTGGTCTTAAGCTCGAAAAGAGCAGCACCGATAAACAGACAAATGTGTTGATAACCGCTGCCTCAGGAGGGGTTGGGCACTTCGCTGTTCAATTAGCAAAGCTCGGCAATATTCACGTGACCGCCACATGTGGGGCCCGCAACATAGAGCTTGTTAAGAGCTTGGGGGCTGATGAGGTGATTGATTATAAGACCCCTGAAGGTGCTGCCCTCAAAAGCCCATCAGGCCGAAAATATGATGCCGTTATTCACTGTGCTACTAGTATTCCATGGTCTACTTTTGAGCCAAACTTGAGTGAGAATGGGAAGGTGATCGATATGACACCTGGTCCGAGGGCTTTCTTGACATCTTTTACGAAGAAACTGACGTTTTCCAAGAAGATGCTGGTGCCTTTGTTTGTGGCGTCCAAGAGTGGGAACTTGGAGTATATGTTGGGCTTAGTGAGAGATGGGAAGATAAAGGTTGTGATCGACTCTAAGTTTCCATTAGCCAAGGCGGAGGAGGCATGGGCGAAGATCATGGATGGGCATGCTACTGGGAAAATCATTGTGACTTCGGAGTAGAGAGGGCATATTGGAAGGTACTGCTATGTAGGATGGTTTCTCGTGTATTGAGGGTGTGTTATGGCTTGTATGTTTTAGCTTATCCTGTGTCATAGTTGTTCGAGTTATATGCTTTGAGACCTGGTACTGTACATGCATCCTGTGGATAGACCTGGTACTGTACATGCATCCTGTGGATATGAAATTATTAAGTTTGTATTATAACTAGTTGGATTACGTGCAACGCACGAAGAAATGAAATGACCGATAACAAATAATATCGTAGAAATGAAATAAGCAATGACATAAATAATATCGTAATATGCAATGGAGTGTATATGTAGATATGCAATAAGCATTAATGTAAATGATTCACTGGCTATGTAACATAACAATATATTGTTATGCGATAAACGATCACCTAAATAATCAATAGAAGAATAATAGAATATTCTACGAAGAGAAAATAAGCAACAACTATAAATCCTAAAAATTGCAAAGAAACCTCGCTCTAGAATCAAAACCCAATTTATTCCAGGCCCAGTTTCTCGCTAAGTCCTGTAGGAAATAAGGTGATAAGGTGGGGGAAACAGGACTGGAATACGTAATGAGTAAAATGATCAAATTAACAATTAATGAAGATGGTTTTTGCTGTCTACAGCCCAGGATGCTATGCACTTTCTTAAGATAGTGGTTTGCCCTCTGTAAAATAACAGCGTGCAAAAGGTTACCCGGGTAAATCAGTTCCCAGGATATCTGTAATAATGGTAAGCTTACTCGGGTAAATCAGTTCTCAGGATATCTGTAATAATGGTTTAATTTTACACGATGAATAAGTATTTAGAATTTTAGAGAGAGTGTGGGGATGATTTTGATTTTAGAGAGAACAATATTAATTGTTGAGAGATAAAATCAAGTTAGTAAAAAAAAAAAGGGAAAAATACAAAAAAACACCTTAAAATAGACAACTTAACTCCACCCCAATCTCTTCTCTCACTTTTTTTTCCCTACAATATTTCCTTTCCTTGCAAATAACCCCCCAACTCAAAAGTACAATGAAATAAGCTTAAACTACCTTTGTTTGTTTTCACAAGGCCTTCTCTCTCCTATTTTCACATGCGTTCCGGCAGTAAAAACACGCGCTCCGGCATTTTGAATGCGCGCTCCAACAATGCAAGGCTGAGCCTCAGCGCTTTGGCATTATGAGAACTCGCTCCGAAAGCGGAATTCCGCTCCGGCAATGAAGTCTCTAGAGCCACAATGCTTCGGCAATGGAGGACTGCGCTCCGGCAATATAAACAAGCACTCCGGCATTCTGAATGTGCACTCCGGCAATGCAGGTTTGAGCCACAACGCTCCGGCATTATGAGAACGCACTCCGGCAGTGTAAAGACGCATTCCGACAGTACGCTACTTGGGACCCGTGAATTGATTTGGTTTGTATAGAAAGGGCATTTCCATCAAAAAATAACAACTTTTTACCTTGAGGGTTTTTACGAGGAAAAGTTGTTTTGGTGAAAAAAATGAGAGAAAAGATTGCGGTGGGGGTAAGTTGCATAAATAGTCCATTTTAAAGTGTTTTTTGTAATTAAAAAAATAAAAAAAATAAAAAAGCCCACACACTAAAAAGTGGTTATTGTAACTGTTTACAATGCCATGTGACTGGTAGGTTCCAACCGTTACAGTACGACTGGTAGGTTCCAACCGTTACAATCCAATAATTAACCACTGGAATCACCAAAGGGGTACCATGCACGGTTGCACACGCATCCCTTGATGCAGTGGCATAGTTGTTGGATCAATCGGCAATCATCCAATGCAGGCCTACGGATGTGGGTCGCGTCTTGTAAAAATGGGGTGAGCCAGACCCGAACTCTTGCACAGGTTAAAGGTGACAGTGCGAGCATACGAAGTGGAAAGTATGTCATCTAACGCTTTTGCGTGCGAGCATGTGCATGTCGCAAGCTTCATGTGCTCTGCATAGTATTTTAGTATTTTTTATTTTGTTTCTATTAGTGCCCATATTCTTTCTTTTGTTTCGTGAACTTAAGGCCTGATAGTGTTTCTATGTTTATACCACGCTTTTCACACTCCACTATGCAATGTGGAACCAAAACCCACTCTTTTTCTTTCTCAATTAATTTAAAACTTAAGAAAACTACACAAGTAGGTACATTATTTTGAAATGTGCTATAGTATTTTTACTACACTAAAATATTAACATTTCTTCTACTATTTGAAAATAATATGAAAAACAATTGGCAACCGTATAATATTTGCATACTATGGAGATATCTTTCGATTTGGACCTTTACTTGAAATACATACTACAAAGTCCATCAAGTTTTGTGGTAGCTTATAGCTTTGAACTACGTAAGTTATTCAACCGACCAGTAGTATAACTCACAAATATTATACATTTTAAATATTTTTAACTAAATAAAGCCTCACCTCAAATCCTTATTTGGAAAGCACTTTCGGTGGCTCTAAAATCAATTTTCAACACCGATAATAAATTTTGAAAATAAAAAAATATACAGATCTTGTGGATCTTTGAACACTTATTTGTAGGGCGAAATGGACGGTCTAAATAATTTGTTAGAATATACACTATTTTTTGGAGTTTGGATCTTAATTTTTTTCACAACTATAATGTTCAAGTTGAGATGATCGATACAAAGGTTTTCCAATGCTTGAACTACAATTTTTGATGAGTTATTAGGTGATGCATTACTTATTATGATAGAACCAATGTCATCAAATTCGCTTTTCTTTAGCCAAAGAGGCCGAAGCCTTCGGATTTTGGGCATAAACCAAAAAGAAGCGAAGCCGGGTGCTGTTGCTTGGGTCAGATTCAAGCCACTTTGGGCTACTTCGGGTGTGCTTCGGATATGATTCAGGTCTTCTTCGAGTCTTCTTCGCCCAATGAAGGTTACTTGCTGGTGTGCTATCTGGGGTTACCACTATTCTACAACACAATTACTGTCAGAGCTTGGTTAGAAAGGTGATTGGTAAGATAGCTACATGGCAATGCCTATGCTTATCTTATGCATTAAGTCAATTCTAAGCATTTCTGCTATTTTCTTGATATTGTTGTTTATGCTGCCAAGGAAAACTTGTAATACGATAGATAGGCTTTCGCAGAATTTTCTATGGATAGGAGTTGCAAAAAATAGGGGCATCCATCTTGTTAAATGGAGTACAGCATACCTTCTTTAGGAGGAGGGTGGGCTAAGGATAAAGTTGGTGACTTCAATATTGTAGGTATAATTAAGCTTATCCAGAGGTTTTAGTAAATTCATCTTCTTTAGTTACTTGTTTTTTAAAGCACATATATTTCAGATGTTCCATTTGGGAGTCTGTAACTAAGAGGGGTTGTTCTCATGCATGGAAGGGCATTCATTTTAGATTATCTCAACTCGGGGACAATGTTCTGGTGCATTTGTAATGGGCAGGTGGTGGAATTCTTGATGGACCCATGACTGTCAGTACAGTCGATTTGAGATTCTCTGGATGATAATCGTAAGAAGTTCCAAAGCAATAATCTCATGCTTGTTCACTAGATTGGCTATAAATTTTGTGGAGGCAAGCAAAAGCGGCTAGTCCAATTTCTTGAACATCAAGAGACAACTATGAGTAAACTGGTTTTCTTGTTCTAACCCTGAAACTTCGCTTTTCATATAGCAAAGAGGCCATCAATCACAAACCGAATCCTTTCGCCTTCATGAAGAATGCCACGAAATCAAGGATCCAAATTCCTTTAGAAAGCCAACTAGGCAACTACTACGCAAGAAGCTTGTAATAGATTTGCAAAAAGAGAGTGCAACAGCTTGACGGTAACTTGTTGGTTTGTAAAAGATCGATGGAATTTGCTAGTTTTCGACGAAGAATGAAATCAAAGAATCCGTTGAGCCCATCTTTTGAGCCTATAGAAGATCGATCCTTGAAAAACCGGAGTATATCGACTGTAGTGATTTTCTTAGGTCTTAAGATTTCTGCTCTGAGACCATGTTAAGAGTATGAGACAGAAAATGAGTACACAAGAATTTACGTGGTTCGGCCGATTGGGCCTACATCCACGAAAGGAGAATTAATCTATATTATTATGACCTTTCTATGGCTCCCTTGTACAGATATATAGAATTGTACATGATAACATTCTATATTGAAGCGTCCACAATAGGAAACAGTGATCAGCCTGATTAAGGGAAATTAATGCGATATAAGAAAGCTGGCTGATATGCAGATATCACTGGGATACACCAGGTTGTTTGAACACCATGGCCGCCAAGCTTATGAAGGCCCTTCGCTACGGCCGCTATGGTGGAGGCGTTGAGGGCTTGAAGGTCTCTATCTCTCTCTTTTTTCTTTTTCTTTTTTTCTTTTTTTTTTCTTTTTTTTTTTTTTTTTCTTGAATCAACCCCTAAATATTTTATTGTTTTTACCTGATTTTTCTCCTTTTAGTTGGGTTTGTTTCTTGAACATTCAATTTTGTGTTTTACATTATATGGGGATCCTCATATGTTCACTGCCTCCTTTGGTGTTTCACTTTAGGGGGTAGTTTGGATACTTGGCAATGCATTTTCATAAATGTTTTTGTGGAGATGGCACATTTCTGACGTGGATCAAACTATTCGGACTAAAAGGTATTTAGGTATTTTTGTTAGCCCAAAATTGACTTCCAGCTAGAACTATTGGGACTAAAAGGTATTTTTATTAGCCCAAAAGTGATTTCCAGCTAGATTTTCCTGTTACGGAGGTGCCGACTTTCACAAAACACAATTAATTCCACCAAAATATCCTCATAAATTAAAGACAAACTATCAATATCTTAAAATTTTAGAGACAGATGAACTACTTAAAACTTTTTAAAGAGAAACTAACTTTAAATTTTTATACGGAGAAACTATTTCAAATAAAGTTTAAGAGAAATAAAATATATTAAAGTTTTATAGAGAAAATCTATATCAAATTTTAGAGAGAGAAAGCTTAAAAAAGTTTTAAAGAGAGAAATTAAAAAGTTTTAAAGAAAGAAACTATCTCAAAATCTTTAGAAAAAGAAACTATCTCAAATTTTAAGTCTTGCATAGAGAAAGTACTTAAAAAATTTTAGAAAGAAAAACTATCTCAAATTTTAAGTTTTAGTGAGAGAAATTATCTCAAAATTTATAGAGAGAAACTATCTCATATTTTAAGTTTTTCTAAGAGAAAGTATCTAAAAATTCTTCGTGAAAGAAACTATATTAACACTTTTAGATAAAGAAACTATCTCAAATTT